GCATTTCTGTCTATTACACCGAACAAACCCCTTCCCTTTGATCTTTCACAATCTAGTCCTATGTACGTTTTTCAGGACACCGGTTAATTCCAAGGTCAGACGTACTTGCTTGCTGGCACCCCAGCCAGCCTGTGTTCACAGTACTGGAGCATTTTGCCATGTTGCATTGGACTGTTCTTTGTCTCTGTGATCATCCAGAGGACACGTTTTGTATCTTGTTGACCTTTGAGCTTCCACTGCCCAGGTCCGTGTCCCATCATAATAGGTATTCAAAACCACTTGTATGAAAGTATATAATTAAACGATATAAGAATAAGATATAAGAACCAGGAAAAAATATATATAGGTGTGTATGTGTCTGTGTGTTCACAAGCCAGTGTGGGAACAGAAGAAATGCCATTTATATTAAAGGGGCAAAGTTCTATTACCTCTTATCTGGCTTTTAAGGGGATTTTGCTGAGCTAAAAATCCTGTATTCGTAGAAAAGCTTTACCTGAGCTGCCCATACCATCTGAGATGATTCAAAGAAGGATTTTAAAAGAACTCTTTCCTGTTTGTCATGCATTGCTTGCTGTTGCGTTGCACCCTGGTTGAACATTGAAATGAGACGCGCCTTTACCACCTTTGTGTCTGGTCACGTCTGCTTCCCGGTCTCCCTTGCTAGCACAGCGACGCGGTGCCAGGCTGTAAACACAGCAGCAAATGGCTCAGGAAAAGAGAAGGGGAAAGAGACCTGCTTGGGTTTGTAATCAGACAAAATCTATTTCATGAAAAGCATTTCTATTGGTATCAGGCCTTTTATAATTTCTTCATTTCTTTAAAATTAAATTTTCTAAAACGCAGACTGTTGGCCTTACGTATCATATTGGCACCAGATTAGTACAGCTTGCTTGCCAAGCTTAGAAGGGAAAATACTATAATTTTATAGTTCTTATAAAAATGAGGAAATCACAAACCTCACAAAAACCCCAAGTAGGATGTCTCTAAATCTGCCCACAGAGAGACCAAGATGTATGTTTTCAGTTTTGAGGATGACCCTAGAAACCTATTTGGGGTTGATGTTAGTTCACCCGAACATAGCTATAGATCCATCTCAGCAAACAGATGTGCGGAACGTGAACTTGATGTTCATGGGCTCCGCAAATGGAGCTGGGAGTCAACTAATTTCCATTTTTATTATATAGCATGACTTTTGCTTCTTTGTTCTCTCATAATCAACTTCAGTCTCCCCCGAAATACCCTAAGTGATCGCTTCTAACAGGGTTAGATTGTGCGAGTTCAATGGAGGCTTATTTATGACTGCTTTATCCACATCTGCACCTGACAGACTCTCTCTCGGTGCAACAACAAATTGGATTTTTCAAGAGCAGGAGAGAGGTATATAGGCTCCTTCTAATAAAGTAAATATAATACCACTTGTGCATAGCAGAATCTTTTGAACAAAATTAAAAGTGCATTTTTTTTGAGACATTAAGAATAGGTTCAGTGGTTTGGTTCAGTGGTTAGAGCGTGGCCTGAGGTACAGAGAGAACCGGGTTCGGTTCCCGCTAGGGGCATGTACCTCGGTTGCGGTTTGTCCCTGGCCCTGGTTGGTCGTGCAGGTGGCGGCCACTTGATGTGTCCTTTTCATGTCGATGTTTCTCTCTCTCTCTCTCTCTTCCTCTTTTTCCCTCCCACTCTATCCGAACAAAAAATGGAAAAAAAATGTCCTCAGGTGAGGATTAAAAAAAAAAAAAAAAGGAATAGGGAACTGAGCATCTACAATCTTGCTAAAGAATAAGTTGCACAGGGTCCTCGGTGATGGTGAGGAAAACTCTGAGAATCAGCACTGGAACTTCCTCCTTTGCCCACAGAACCTATTTCCCTCCCTTCTCTGGCTTGTCTGTGCTCAGATGGTTAATTTCATGTGTCAACCTGACTAGACTAAGGGATGCTTGGAGAGCTGGTTAAACATTGTTTCTGGTGTGTTTATGAGGGTGTTTCTGGGAGAGGTGAGCATTTGAATCGCTCGCCTGAGTAAAGCAGTGCAGGTGGATATCATCCAGTCTGTTGAGGCCCCAAATAGACAAGTATTGGAGGAAGGGTAGATGTGTTCTGTCTTCCAGAGCTGAGATATCTGTCAGCTCCCGCCCTTGGACATCTGCACTCCTGGTTCTCAGGCTTTGGACTCAGACTGGGAGTCATCCCATCAGGCCTCTCACCCCATTCCAATTGCAGGCTTTTGGAATCAGAATGAATTATCACACCAGCTTTCCAGAGAGAGAGAGAGAGAGAGAGAGACAGAGAGAATAGATAGGTAGATGATACATGGATGGATGGATGGATGGATGGATGGATGGATGGATGGATAGGTAGAGATTCTATTGGTTCTGTTTGTCTGGAGAACCCAGAATAAGTGTTCATGTAGATTACTGCATAACCTTGGTCCTCCTGCAGGCTGACCTTCAGCTGGGTTTGGCCAATGACATCACCATTAGGAGAAGAGGGTTGGAGGAGATAAAAATCTGCATTGACGCTCCCTTCCTTCTCTGCTTTGGTGCTACAAGTGTGGCAGTGATTATATCCCTACAACTGACATTTTCTTCTGCGAGCGCCCCCTCCATGGTCCTCACTCCAGTGGTCCACCATCACTTGTGTCCTTTCTGTGTCGTTGGGCCCTTGAGTGGCCATGGCTCTCTATATTGCTAGTATTCAGGCACCTCACCAACTCTTGTTTGCTAACTTCCCTGCTCACAACACTATGTGTTACTCTTTTATTAAAAACTTTTCAGGTGGCCCTGGCCAGTTTGGCTCAGTGGTAGAGCATTGGCCTGTGGTCCAGAGAGACCCGGGTTCGGTTCCCGCTAAGGGCATGTACCTTGGTTGAAGTTTGTCCCCAGCCCTGGCTGGGTCGTGCAGGTGGCAACCACTCAATGTGTCCCTTTCATGTCAATGTTTCTCTCTCTCTCTCTCTTCCTCCCACTCTATCTGAACAAAAAATGGAAAAATGTCCTGGAATGAGGATTAAAAACAAAAAACTTTTCAAGTGAACCATCTGAGATAAATTCAGGTCTTGCTGAGATCCTAAATGATAAAGGAAGCCATATTTTGCTGTTTTGTTTTAAGTAAATGGTAACTTGAATAAAATAACCTACTGGATAGCCATGGATTGATCAAGTGCCTTCCAGGAGGATGACCATTGTGAGCAAGGTTGTCTAACTGCCTTCACCTTTGACATCCATGGCAAAGACTGAAAATACACAAAGCAACGAAAGTCTGCATCTTCTAAGGAAGTTAAAGGAGCTGTCAAACAGCTTCTAGGCTCTTTAATGAGTCTGCTAGATTGCGAGGAGATGATCCCATATCAGCGGGAGCACAGGGGCGCCTCATTCTCCCGTGGTACACAGCACCAAGTCAGGAGGAAGGGGATAGACAAGACCCAACAGAACCTGGACTCCCTTTCCCTCTAAATGAAAGGTACAGGCTGGACTCCAGGACATCTTAGCAGAAGAGAACCTTTTCTAGGACATCTCTGTGCTCAGAAAATGAGACAGTACTCAAAAATCCTCTAATACATTAGGAGGAACAGGTGCTCTCACAGGCCAAATCTGACCACTTTGAGCTCTAAATACATTATGATAATTAATTCATTGAATAAAATGAGAATTGTACTGAGAGAGAGAGAGAGAGAGAGAGAGAGAGAGAGAGAGAGAGAGAGAGAAGAACAAATGAAGACAGGGAGGGAGGGAGGGAATTAGAGAGAGAGAGAGGAAGGGAGGGAGGGAAAGAAAAAAGGGGAGATGGCAGGTTCTTTGTTATAGTAAAATGCCAACTGATTAAGTATATAATGATGAAATTAATAGCCACTCTTTAATAATCAATGGATGCTAGAATAGAGAGTGAAAACTTAATGAAGAAGGGGACATTTCAGTGTCATAGAGTCTCATGACAACTTACTTCTTCATTAGTAAGGGCAAAATGGCACCACTGCTATGGAGATACCTAGGAAGTGCCACCTTACCCAAGGATCAAAGTTTATATCTTCAGCATAGGACAAAGTGCCATCACGTGTCTCCTGATATACTGTGCTAAGCAAGACACAACGTCTTTTCTGCGATTATCTTGCCGAAGCTGAACGAATGACTACCCTCTTAGTTCAGGGATCTTGATGCAGAGATATCATTCCCACTTTCGTGTTGCCCACCTGAAAGACTTTTCAATCTAATGTGTTGGAAAACACATACTGTTGAAATGAGGGCACAGCCGTAAAACTTACTCCTGTGAGATGCCGGCAACTAGATGAGAGACTACAGAGGGGACGATTCAGAAGGACAGAAATGGAAGGCAGAAGAGATGACAGAGGCCATGGTGCTTCTGCTCTTGTACAGTTGTTGTTTTCTTTAACTATTAATACTCCAGATCTTCGGTTCAGATATTTTATTGCATTTAGAATCTATGGCAAATCTATTAAACATTTTCTTTCTCCTATTTTTCTTCTCTCACGCCCTCAACCTGTCACACACATTCCAATACCCCATTTATTCTACCAGGTATTTAATCCGCCAACATTTGAAATTTGTTCATGATTTTTTTATTACTATTCTAACATCAATGTCTCGTTCAATTCTAATCCCTTCTGACATCGGTATTGTATGGGTTGTCAGGAGGCCTCTGTATTATTTGTGTTTTCCCTTTCCTCGCCGCAATGGCTTCAACATATTGTATTTTATTCCTCTGAATCGGATGCCTGTCTGAGTGTGTAGGCCAGCTCGCGACCGAAAACCGTGCAGCACGGGAACCTTCATCCCAAACCACCAAAATACATTTTCAATAAAAGTGGAGGGGGTAGGATCCTTCAGACTCTGTTAAAATAATGAAATCATACAGGACACTGTGCTTTATCTCCACCTCTGGCTTTAGAGTGATAGGTACAATCATATCTCAGAAGGCTGGGCTAGCAAACACTGAAACATTCATAAAACATATGTCGGTGCATATACACTTTTATCTATTTTTTTTTATACTGTATCAATAAAGATACCAGGTTGAACATGCACGAAGCCAGGAAAAACAACGATGCCAGATACTGGGTTTATATCGTCCTGTCCTTCGAACACCCAGCGGGAATAAACTGTCGCGTGCACGCACCATGCAGTGCGATACATTTGTAATTAGTACTCTTGATATTTCTGTTTAAAATGAGGTACTTGAGATGTTTTCTAAACATGATCCTCGGATTTAAAATAGATATATTTAAACAATTTAAATATATTTGTATGAATGCAAGCATACCCTTGTTTAATAGGGAAGATTTCAAATCAAGAAGCCTTAGACACAGAGCACAATAAAGGAAGCAGATGCCACGCGCTTGCTAATTGGCCTCTAGTACAGAGGTTATTCAGAACTCCTTTGTTTTCATTATTCTTTTGTTAGACCCTGTGAAATACCCTGAAGACTGAGGGATTTTTCCACAGTGGCATTCACATAACATTATCTTACCCACCGTCTTTTGCACACAACCCTAACCCCTAACTCTTCCTCCCAAAAAACAGTTCTTGCCTCTTCTGAGAACCATCCTTGACCAACCTTCCTCTGAAATGGGCCTAACGTCACCTGCCTCTCTTCTGCAAAATCTCTATAAAAAATTCCATCCTCTTTCTCAAAAATTTTCCTTGAGAATCTTTTCATGCCCAGCATTTTGGAATTTACTTATGCTAATGGTATTCTGGTTACTTTTCTTCCACAGCATATACTCTATCTGTGTGTATATATTGGTATTAATGTATGTGTGTGCCTATAATAAAAAAGTTTGCTTTCGAGTGAGCGAAGTGTTTAATCTTAATTTTTAATTTCCTCGTTATAACAAAAAAATGGATTTTCCCACCTGTGTTAGAGAACAAAATCTAGGTTTCGGTTTGATATATGATGTGGGAGAACAAGAGGCCCTCCATGGAGTTGAGTAGATGCCAGTCCCAGCCCCTGAGAGAGGAGATTTAGGAGTAGGACAAGGTTTGAATACAGTGAGTTCAGTTTGGACATCATGAGTCTGAAGTCGCTCCTCTAAGATATCAGTTCAGATGCAAATAGCTGGATGTATGGTCTGAGGGTCAATAGTTAGATTCCAGAGATCGGAAGTCATTGAAAAGATAGAAATGGAGTTTTGGCCTAGGGAGAATTCCAATATGTAGGTTAGTTTTATTTATTCATTTATTTATTTATTTTATTGATTTTAGGAAGAGAGGGAGAGAGAGAGAGAAACATCGATGAGAGAGAACATCAACTGGCCGCCTCCTTCATGCCCCCCACAACCCGGGCATGTGCCCTGACTGGGAATCAAACTGGTTTGATGCTCAACCACTGAACCACACTGGCTAGGCTGTAGATTAGCTTTAAAAATGAATCATAAACATAGCTCACAGAACACCCCACAGATAGACCTAACAAACCTGGTGTTATTGTTCTACTCAAGCCTCTTGCAATGAATGCAGCGAAGGGCCATAACAAAGAGCTTGTTGTCATTCTTCTATCAGTGGGCCTACAACATGCTTACTCATCGCAACTGACCTTCCTTTTCCTGCAAATTATAAAGAGTCCTGATCTCTTCAATCAACTCATGATGTTTCACTACAGGATTTGTGAAATGGTCACAGCTGTACCTTTTGTAAGTTATGGACCAAGAACTACTATTATCATATGTGATTATGTCCATTATTTTCATTTCCTGGTCCAGTATCTTAGCCTACTTCAAGGGTTTGGCTAAAGATTGAATTTGATAATCACCCTTTAAGAGTCTAGGCTTCCATTTCGAAGAGGCTTAAACCTCTGACAAATAATATAATTAACTGATTAATTGATTTCATAATCCTACCAATTCCTAAACCAAGATTTAAAAGAGAAGTTTAAAAGAAAAGTTCTCCTTAATATTGAAATTCTTCTATCGATTCCCCTACACACATACCACATCCTCTATTTAATCTCACAGTCCCCCATTTGCTTCCTGTTGAGGGCTTGAATCTCTTTGTTCTATTTCCATTTTCCATTAGATACAATTGGAGGTAACTTTTTCCAGACTGGATGGTGGATTTGGCTCCCTTACAGCAAGCTTTTTAAACTAAGAAGACTGCAAATGTTTTCTATGAGTAACTAGTCATACTATTTGCTGAGTGTACCTCAACCAACAATTAGGGACAAGCATCTCTTTGCGGTATCTAAGGCTGAAGGTGATATCTTGATATGGGACAGTATCTACATGGGAAATTTATCAAAGAATAAGATTCCTCTTCCAGAAAGCAACAAAATAAATTTCTGTGGAAACTTTTCCTTCAGACTATAAAATCATTTCATTAATGTTTTTACTAACTTGTTAATGTAAAAAAAAAAAATCAATCATTTACAATATTTTAAACTTCTTTTAAGATTATAAAGGCAAAGTAATTTCACAGAATTGTGTACTTTTCTACAGAATCCTTTTATGTCATCCTTTTTTCATTTACAAAGCCTCAGGAAGTCTGTGTGCTAATGTTGTCCTTGGTTCCACACAGGTCTAATTAGACAAGGACACTCCAACGGTGGTCAAGGTATTTTGCTAATCCATGTTACAGTACAGTTTCTAGCTCTTCTTTAGAATGTGTATGTACTTCCTCCAAAATTCTGCTTGCATAACAGGTTTGTGTTTATTCTGTATGGCCAACCTAAGGAAGTAGAAAAGCCAGAATTATATTTCAGACTTCCCCAACTGTCAGTTTTGTACTCAAACAAACTAGTCATTGCTGTCCCTCAGAAGGAAAGCTGTCTCTCACATATAAAGAGCCTCCCTCTTGGAAGGTTCTGTATCTTAAAAGGTTGTTTTGAAATGTTGATGTACCATATAAGTAAAAAAAAAATTTCCCAAGCAGATTAAATGCATATATAAATTTATAATAGCCCACTGACTCCAGTTGGCAGAGTTATAGCTTTAAGATAAGTGGCAAAACACTTTCCAAAGAAGTTTGGAGACTCTTTTTTTGTCTTTCTGCCAAGTTCTCCCCACGGAATCTTATGCACTGACTAATGCATATGGTTTTTTTTGTGTAAGGTTCCCGGGGACAGTCTTGATCAAGGCTGGTAGATGAGAAGACTTTCAGCTGAGCTCCATGTGAAGTCTTTTCTTGGACAGGTTTTAGCTTCTGCTATATTTCTCATGGCTGTCCCATTGTATCTACATCAGCATTAGCAGAAAGGGAGTCCTTTCATTATTCATATGTAGTAAACTCATATATGAAATATGTTTTATAATTTAAAATGATCATTATAAAACAATCCATAAATATTACTCCAAAATGCCCATATAATCAGTTGGTTTTCATCTATTCTAGTATTTATACCTCAGCTCTTTTTTTACTTTATCAATATGAAAAAATATTTATTCGTACCTACTATGTAAATTAAAAAGTTGAATTCCAACATTTGTAAGTCTTTCAAATGACCTTCCTACTTCTGTCAAGCCATTTCTTTTCTTCTACATTGTCTGTGTTTACTATAAACAATTGTTCTTATTCATTGTTGCTAGTTATTTCATTATATAAATATGTCAGAGTTCTGGTATTTTTTATTCTTGAAATAATTACCTCTATCTCCTTTAGCAATTTGTGAGCTAACATAGATCAGTTCAAGCACATTCATGAGAAAATACATCAGAGTTACACAAATCAAATGTTAATTCCAGTCATCTCTGAGATTTCACCATCCCAAGTAAGATATAAATTCAGGACTGCCCGAAGTTCTATCTCATAGCTTCCAATATCATTGATAGAAAGAGAAAACAGTTAAGAATATACTATGTTGAGTCTGCTTTAGTTTATGTAAAAATTGGGGGGCAATAAACATATATGAATATCAGTGATTGCCTCTTATGATAGGTATTGAAAAGAAAGATGCATTAAATACCCATTTACACATTTGATTTAAATGTTGCCATGTACATATTTTTTCAATTGAAAGTTGCAATTAGCTTAAAACATGTCATCTCCTTGTAGAGCTGATACGTTTTTAAAGAAATTGAGGTGGTTGTTCCTTTTGTGAATAAGTAGCTCCTGCCTAATGAGATGATCCCCTGTTTATCTACCAAAAAAAGAAAGGAACAGTGAACGGAAGACATGTGAGGAGACAATGTAATATACTAATTGTAGATGCCACTAGTTCCAGCCAGTAACTTTTTCTAGACTTTCAGGTAAGTTTGATGTGATGACTCTTAAATAAAACTGAAATCATAGGGCTTGTAATTCCCAGAGAGGACTTCAGAATGCATATGCTTCTTTAATGCGATTGAGTTCCTATGGTTTGCAAAGGATGAATACCTACTGCAAGGTCTAATTCACAACTCAAGTAGCTAATTTATTCATCTGGGTGGGTGTGGCTCCGGTTATTGAGAAAGTATCAAAACTTAGTACTTAGGGCTACCAAGTAAGCAGAATTTTGCAACGTGGGTAGATTTGCTTTACCAGGGGAAAAAAAAGTTCATAGATTTTAATACTGTTTTATATCCCTTTATTTTTTTCTGTCTAGCCTACAGGAATAAATGTCTCTCAAAATAACCAATGTGATGTCAAAGTTAGACTATTTGTCTCGGGGCTGTAGGAATTTCACTCAGCAGAAATTTTCCCTCCACTTTTATTGAACTCTTTCCAGAATCAATAGCAACAGAGACACCTCCTTTGGCCGGTTCTTCCAGGATCCCCGTAGAAAACCGCTGCCATTTTCTGTGTACGCTAATGACAAGCTGGATGTTTGCATGAAAGCCAATATGTTCCTACACTGCTTTTTGAGACAAGTAATAATCAGTCTGTCATCAATGTCATGCTGCAATCAGGCTTTGACAAGGTTTGCAAATAACGTGAAAGGAATTGCTCATCCCTGAACACTGCAGATCTAAACCAGACCTGAACAGAAACGAACAGTCTGCTCCACTCAGCGGCCCAGCCCCAGGAGCTGCTCTGCCTGAACAACGGCAGAAGGCGCAGCCACGCCCTAACCCCCACCCGCACCCTCCACTGTCTATTTTTTTAAGAAGATCTTTTCTCAGCTACCTATCCTGGGACATCACTACTGTGATGTAGCCACCTGAGCCCAGCCTGATTGGAAATACTAGTTGTGTCCAGCGGGTGTGGCTCCGTGGTTGATT